AAGCAATAAATAACAAAGAAGAAAGCAAACACTGTTTCGTATATACTAGATTATTCCTAGAACAAACTACTTACCAGCCGGGTATTTACCACAGGAAAAAGCAATGCCAGAAGAGCCCCATTCAACATGTGCATCTGTAGCCTAGAAGAGGGGGGGAAAAAAAGATAAGTCCAGGTCACACTCAGATTCTGATACAAAAGTAGGGAAAAAACATCTCAAGTTAAACCAGGCCATATGGGAGAACACTATGTATCCATGTGGCTGGCTGTGTAAAGTAGCACTAGAGTCTCCACACATGTGAAATCAATTAAAAGCAGCAGATTTTGTATTAATTGAAATGTTCTAAAGTGCATTACGACCACCTAAGAATCCCCCCCACACACACACTTAGTGAACACACTTTGGTTATACCACTTCATTACATAATGACTTCTGGGCTCCCTAAACATTCAGGCAGTACCAATCAATGGCTTCAATTGCGGCAACTCAGGCGGCATTAGAAATGTGGAACCGTGGTAGCTAAGTGCTCTGTTATTACAGTAGCAACCCATTTATCATAACTTGGCAGCTGATTTATATGACCATGCCCAATCCTTTTCCCCAAACAGAGACCTGGGCAGTAAAAGAATGGTATAACTAAAGGGAGCCAACTGCAGTGTTGGGCAAACTTTGCTCCCCCAATTTCTTAGAACTGTGTTTAAGGGGCTGTAGCAGGAGGGGGTGTGGTGCAAAAGTGCCAGCAGTCCAGGTTTTCTTTGATTTGTTTTTCATCCTGGATTCTGTTACTTACAAACAAAACCACAAAGACAAAAAAAAAAAAAAAAAAAAAAGAAAACCGCTAATCTCCAGCATCGGATAGTGATGTTATTTCCTGATACCAGACTTGCTAAAACACATAATAGAAACCTTATATAAGTCAGGAACAAACTCTTGCTTGTGAGAGCCCTGGAGATGGATTTCAGCAGCTTCCTTCATCTTTCAAGGAAAATGGTCCTTTATTATTAAGGGAGAAGCAAAGAATAACAGTCTGTCCTTTCTGAAGAAAAGCTGCTTTGATGCATCATGTACAACCATTACCGATCCAAGGTGCCTCTCAGACCTCAAGACACTAGCTGGATTCGGACACAGAGAGAGATAGAGAGAGAGAGAGAGAGAGAGAGAGAGAGAACGCAAGACAGCTGCCCTGGTATCTCTAATGCCCTGACTAACTAGTCAACACCTTGGAGACCCTCTAGAGTTTTTGTCCTTCTCTTGGAGCCCACAGATGTGCACCTAAGACTAAGAAACATTACAAGGGGACTCAAGAGATTAAGGTTGCATTTCATTTCCCCTCGTCTGTCTCTTACTGCTGCTGTTTGTGTTAACAAAGCCATGATGATGGTAATGACATGCACTTAATATATTCCAGGCAATTATCTAATTAACTGCTTTACACTCTCTCAATTTTTTTCCACAATCTTAAGAGATAGGTACTACTACCATTCCCATTTTGGTGATGAGGAAACCAGGTTCAGAGAAGTGAAATGACCTGGTCAATGCCATACCTGAGATACAGCCAAGATTCAAACCCAGGTCTCTCTGACTCCAAGCGCTTTCATTTCTTTGGCTGCTTTATACCAGAGCCTTTCTCCCTCCAAAATGTGACCTGAGGGAGGAGTCAGGGATGCCTGTTTTTGCTTTATTTTGCTTCCAGGGGTTTCTCTATCTGCCCCAGGCCTAATGTGAATGATTGAAGGGGAGAACGCTCTTAGCCAGGGCAGGCCTTCAAAGTCCTCCAGGACCAACAGAACTTCCCTTAGTCCATAAAAGGGAAGAGACATGCCAAAGCCATGTTACCTTTGCCTCCCTGGGCTGACCAGGTTACCATGTGTTTTCAACAGAGTTGCTCCATGAGGCAGCCCGTATTCTGAGAAAATGACTACTTGAAACACTGGTTCAACCCTCAGTGCCTAGACCAAGAGTTATTACCAGTCCTTCCAGGCCTCCAGTAAAGTAGTCTAACCTAACCATGCTCCTATGTGTCAGCCACAATTTAAAGACTCACCCCGGGAGAGGAAAATTCATATTGATAGGCCAGGGAAAGCTGGACTTTGTTGCCAGCCTGTGCCCACTGACCAAAAGGGAATGCTAGTATTTGTAAAAGCCCAAATAGACATTTGGGCACCAAAAGTTAAATCTTGAAGATGCTAAAATTGATTCCAAGGGCACATGGAAGGCCAAAGATAAAGAAGATAAAATTAGTATTAAGATTCAAAAAGAAAATTCAGTTCATAGGTTAAGACAGGCTTATCTCCCAAAATTCCGTTTCCCAAACTACGTAAATGCCAAGGGGTAAGCTATTCTTACTATATAAAGAGGTCTTACAGACAATATACAAACATACATTGAGAATTTCTGTGTGCCAATCACTGGAATAAGTATTCAAATGTATCATCTCATTTAATCCTCACAGTTTTCATCATCACCATCATCTATCATTATCCTCATTTCACAGCTGAGAAAAATCAATGTTTCAGGTGATCAAATGACTTGCCGATGTCACATGGATAATAAGTGGCAGAGGCAGAAGTCACACTCAGGAGAGAACAGGGATGGGGTGAGAGAGGAGGGGGAGGAACGGAGAAAAAGAGGGAGGGAGGAAGAGGGGGAAAAAGAAAAGAAAATCATGTGAAAGATACGACTATTTAGAAAAATCAAAGTATTGAGAAAGAGATCCAGAAACCAGAAAAAGACAGACTGAAGGACAGAACCAAAAAGTAGACCTTGGAGACAGAGTCCTATTCAGTTTGTCATATTTATAAACTTCTTTCTTGCCAGTTCATTGTCAGATGTATTTTCTGGACGCCTGTTTGTTTTTTGTATAGGACACTTGGCTGAGTTAGCTTAGCTGGTGTCACAATATGGGGCAATGTGATCGACTGTCTTTCAGGTCAGTTCATTTCATTAAATTTAGTTCCAAAAACATTAATCAATCCATTATTGTGTGCCTAATACTGTTCCAAGTGCTGTAGGGAAAAGAAGACAGGTATAAGAAAGATACCCAACCTGCCCTCAAGAGAACCTAACAATCCTACCAGGAAGGGAAGGGGTGAAGTAACTAGAGGAGATGCACTACCGGTACCCCTGTGTTTAGAAAGTTTGCTTTAGGCCACTTCAGTTTTACAAAAGGTCTCCATTAGTACCTGTTTTTGCCAAACAAAGGAAATCCAAAGAGTATTTTTGCTTTTACCAAAAAAAAAAAAAAAAGGTGAGAAGTGAAATTAGCATCCAGCATTAGTTTTAAAGAAAGATGTTCAAGATGCTGCCTGAA